TCATTTATTTTTGTTTTATGAATGTGTTTACATATACATTAGTATATATAGGTATGTGAATGCAAAAGTATATATTATATGATTGATATTGTTTTATTGCTTTTTTCTTCTTTTTATTTTATTACTACAATCATCAATTTTCTATCAAACTGTCTTTTCATTCCTTTACATTTATACCCCTTCATTTTCCTAATTTATTTGGTTTAATTCTATTTTCCCTTAAGTAATGAATATCACTCTGCATAGAGTTGGATATACACACACACACACTACACACTTTCACACACACAACTTAATACCCTCAATTAATAATCCGTTTGCCTCTTTTGTTAATGTCTGTTGTCTCATGAAATATGTTATGTGCTTTGGTCCTGTAAATGTGTTATTTTGTGTTGCAATAAAAAAAAAGATTCTGGCCACTTTTAACAATAATGTATTATTAGCTAACCTTTGAAAAAATAATGGTTTCCTTGTCTACTGTAGGAATATCAACCTATAATAACTGGATTGGTATGATGGGTAAAAAATACTGATGAAGGGAGTTCAACATCACCTGCATTAAAAAGCCATATACACTGTAAATTCAGTGCAGTGTCCATTTGTAGAAGATTCATTCTATCTACACAGCAGTAGTCACATGACACTCAACAACCTGCTGTGCTGTGTTGAGGTTTGACAACAAAGAGTTTTAATTCACATTTGTAAGGAAAAAATATGTCACTATGTGTAGTGGTGTTCTTCCCTTATGTGTTTGTTGTTGAACATCAATGGAGGTCTATGGCACAGGCCACTAAGATCATCGAAGACTGAAACAAAACATTGATGATTTTAGTCTCTGTATGTGGGGTGTTGAAAACTGTCTCCTTTCTCTCTCTTCGGGATGGTGGAGTGAGTGCCGAGGTACAGGCTGGCAAGGAGTGGCACAGCTGAAGGTTATCAGCCCCATCTGTTTGGCTAGTATTTAGCTGAAGCTTGGCTGTGTCACTAGTGATGTCCAAATGAAGCAACGAACCAGTATTGAACCACTTCAACTGTACTGAACATGGGTTCATTCATTCAAAGGTTTGTTTCAGTGACATCTAGTGGCAAAATAGGACACAGCAAAACAATGTCTTAATTATGTGATGGGTGTAACTAGGCTTTGTGTGAATGATGTAAATACATGTTTGTAAATATTGATTGGTCAGTTGGTTGAGTCTTTAAACATATGTAGTGTAGTAGGTGGTAGAAGGCGTGCTTGGGGAAACAGAAGATGTGCTAGAATGGTAGGGTGTACTTTTGTAACTAGGGCAGGGTGTGATTATGTACATGGGATGGAGATTCAAAGATTTTTATTGAGAAACAATATTTTCTCCACTGTTTTTTGAGTGACCTGGTGTCTTTTCTTGCTGACAACTTCTCCAGCTTTCATAAACACACGTTCACATGGCACTGATGAGGCTGGGGTACCTAGGTATTGCTTTGCTAGCGAAAACAAATGTGGGTAAACATTTTTGTGCTCGTTCCAATAGGTCGGGGGATCTTCACATTATCCCGAGGGAGGATCTGTCATGTATATAGTGCTTTTATGCGCCTACAAAACTGCTGAAGTCAGTATCAACTGTTTGAACCAGTCACTTCATTCACTCAGAGGACCGAAGTAGTTTCTGCTTAGGATGTCAGTGGTCACATGTATTTTTCCGCACCAAAGCAAGCACCGAAGCAGTGGTTCAAGGAAAATGTCTGGTCGAGTTTGAAGCTTGTGTTGGAGCATTGGTGTAAGACAGCCATCACTATGTGTCACCCTTGCCAGTTGCTCTTGCCGCGTTTAGACGGCCAATCTAGAAAGTACTAACCTCTGTTCTTCGTACCTGCCTGGTTTCTCCCCAACGACGCCTTCTCACTGTGTGAGTCTGATTTTCCTTTCAACATAAAGTGCTTTTGCTTTTCTTCTTATTAAAATAAAATATAAGTAGCCAGCCATGACCTAAGTAGTGTGTGCAAATTGCTGCTTGGTGTACCAGAACAAGGGGGAGAAGGTGCCAAAATACACAAGGACAAGCCACACAAAGGTGAAACCTTTCAAATATCATGGTTTACTTTTCAAGAGAAAAGACTTTAAGGGTGGTTACTAAGTGGTTGGTTTTGTATATGGGCATCCGATTTGTTTACCCATTTCTGTTAGTGTTGTGCACAGTTGTGTCCTGACTGTTCCTGTGAGATATATCCGAGACTGTCTTAGTCCTAAATAGACTAGTATTGCCTTTGTCTGTCATTATTTGCAAATTGTTTGGCGTTTATCAGTTTCCCGATTATTTGTGTCATTAGTATTGTCAAGTGGTTTGTTAAATTCCAAACGATGAAATCTTGTTGACCATTAACAGATGTTAATGGTCAACAAGCATTAACAGCAACAGTATGATTACAGTACTAATACTGCACTGAAATAGGATGAGCTTCAATCTTAAAAGCAGCTTGAAGATTTATGACTGCATGATAATCAGTTTCATAAAAGAAATGTAATGTTATAGCTACACTGTAATGTAAAAGCAGATTTTCTTGTATAAGTTCACATTATGAACAGATGAAAGGCAGACTAAGCACAAATAACTCAGAAGCACTAATGCATTAGGCTTCTTTGAAGCCATTTTCATTCATACATACATACATACATTTATGGGCTAGTATAAACAAAGCAATCCCTTTCAGTTTATCAGACAGCCAGTCACTCATGAATCTCTGTTTTTTATTTTGTTTTGCTTTTTTAATTGTAATTTCTACACCTAGTCACTTGTATTAGAAGGACGTGGGACCATGATTAGTGTAGAGTGTTCCCAGTACTGTAAAACAAACACACAAGGCCCCCCTGCAGCCAACTTCAAGTGGTGCCCTTTCTGGCAGCAGCACTGAACAGTTCATAGTTTAACATCTGAATCATCACTGTATTATTCAGGCCAAGCAGTGAATTTGTACTAATATTTTAACTAATAGGCTAGCTGGGCTACCCTTTATTTCAAATGCACAACTAAATGGAATTTAACAAACCACTTGACAATACTAATGACACAAATAAAGTTCCCGAGACCATTTTAAAGTATAACTGTACCTGTCCTATTCCTCCTCTTAATTCATTGCAACAAAGTGGATCTCATTGTTTTATTGTAAAACACCCACCTGCCAACTCAGTTACATTGTTGCCCAACTTTGGCAACAAGTAGTTTGCTGCTCTTCTCTTATGTCAACTACTCATACATAATAAACGATATTGTGCTCATGATACTGATCATGAAAATAAATTAACCAGCCTTGGTGCAGCTAATGAAAAGCCCTAGTGAAAGGGTGTTTGTACTGTAGCTACCTCTGTGCTGCAATGTTTGCATCCATAACCCTAACATTACACACCCACAACCGGACTGGATCCATTGCTTCTCCAAGACTTCTCTTTTGATCTGCTCACAGCTTGTATAATGAACAAGCTTTTTGTGAAGGCCAAATTTTGCTGCTGTTTTATTTTTCCTTAAACACAGTAATAAAGGTAAGATCAAATGAAATGCCACAGTTCACAGTGTGCTACAATTCATCAGTACAGCCTGAAGTGTTTTTAGGTTATCAGCACACTCCTCATTAGGAAAGGGGCTTTTCTTACTGGTTTGGAAATGAGAATACTTGTGCATACTTTGGCATAAGGATGGTGCAAAATCCTGCAGCCTATGTTTGTGCCTTCTGGCACAAACTAGCAGCATAACTAAGGGAAGGCTCTGGGTCACCTGATCCAGCCCCAACTATAAGCTTTATCAAAAAGGAAAGTCTTAAGTTTAATCTTAAAGGTAGAGAGGGTGTCTGCCTCCTGCACTGAGACGGGGAACTGGTTCCATAGGAGAGGAGCTTGATAGCTAAAGGCTCTGCCTCCCATTCTACTTCTGTGGACTCTAGGAACCACAAGTAGACCTGCATTCTGAGAGCGAAGTGCTCTGTTAGGATGATAAGGCTCTACGAGGTCTTTAAGATATGATGGAGCCTTGTCATTAAGGGCTTTGTATGTTAGGAGAAGGATTTTAAAATCTATTCTAGATTTTACAGGGAGCCAGTGGAGAGAAGCTAATATGGGAGAGATATGATCTCTCTTGCTAGTTCCTGTCAGTACTCTGGCTGCAGCATTTTGGATTCACTGGAGGCTTTTTAGGGAATTCTTGGGACATCCTGATAGTAAAGAGTTAAAGTAGTCCAGCCTGGAATTAACAAATGTCAGTGTGTAATTCAAGTGTCTACAGCTGTGTAAAATACAGACACTTTGAAGTGCACCTCTGCAATCAGTAGTCTTTCATCCTCATATAAAAGTTTTCTTTTGGTGCATGCGTAGTGCGTTTCAAGAATATGGGGTAGCTTCATAAGTGTGTGTGTGTGTGCATATCTGCCTGTAAAATATTAATATTCTGTTTCTGAAACACTGTTGGCAATTTCCCTGTTTTAGAGGGCAAGCTCAACATTTTCCATGCAAAGTTCTCTGGACAAGACCAAGGTTATTTGCATTTACTGTTGATGTGGCTCCATTTGTATAAAACACCACTTGCTGGCCTAGCACACAGCTGATGCTGTCAGTATTTATAGAAAAAAATCCTCCATAAAACCTGTACTTGCACTATCCCTTAAACCAAGATAATTATTTATTTATGTAATATTTATTCAAGCTTTAATTAGTTTTTTATATTACATCCAAGGCAAGAATAATGCAAAGGCTAACCTGGGCTGAAGCCCAGGGCCCAGAATTTGAGGTGTGGTCAAATACAATATTTAGAGTATAAGTGCTCCTTCCTATCAGCTATTTTCATTCATTCATTCATTTTCTACCGTTTGTTCCCTATCAGCTATTTTAATTTGTTTATTTTGCAGTCTGTCTTGACATTTCTTTGATTTGAATGGTTTATGGGTGGCCAGTGAGAGGTTTATATGTGTCAGAATTCAGCCCTCAATGTATGAACCGGTGATTCTGAAATGTAATTATAACAGGCAGGACTCAGAAGGCAGGTCTCAGGAGGCTTTATTAGGCTAAATAAAAAGTCTTAACACCGGTTGACTGGTAAGAAATTGTGAATGGCAGGAGCCCCTAAGGGGAAGGCTGAGGTAAACAGGGCTCCCTGAAGGTGGCAGGCAGAGAGGAGCTGAGGTGACACCGGGAAGATGAGGCAGGACAGGAGCCAGGCAGTGGTGAGGAGATGCACAGGTGAGTAGTGCTGGTGGAGAGGAGTTGTCGCAGCTGGAGACTAGGTAAGTTAAAGGTTCCAGGAGGAGAGATGAGCTGACAGTGTCACCGGTCGAACAGTAACACACAGCAGTCTAGGCTGTGACAGGAGACATGGCCAGTGTAGCTGGTGGCTCAGGAACTCACAGGTAAGGTGAAGGAGACAGGAGGTTTTTCAGAACAAATCTCAACAGACTGGAAACGAGGAAACTCTGCTGGCTGGTTATGTAGGAGCTGGTAAATGAGCTGATAAGCAGCAGCTGCTTCAGCCATGCCTAAACCACCATCTGCCTGGAAGGAAGACAGAGAGAGACTGTGAGCAGTGAGCAGGCCTAACACTCAGTCCCACCAATCATCAGTTATCTAAACATCATGATGGTGGACATCAGGCATTACAGCAGTGGAGCACAAAAAACAAACAAACAAACTTAAAGGCAAAAAGGGAAGGAGGAACACAACTGGGCTCCCTGAAGGTGGCAGGCAGAGAGGAGCTGAGGTGACACCGGGAAGATGAGGCAGGACAGGAGCCAGGCAGTGGTGAGGAAATTCCAAAGTTGAACAGATATTTTAAATTAGTCATAAGTTACAGGTTGAGGAGAAAGGTGGTGATAATGCAGAGATGAATGTGACTGAAGACGAGTATCTGCAGCTAGCTAAAGCCACAGCTAGTTCAGCTAGCACAGCAGATGAAGTGCACATGAACGCTAGCAGGATCACAGTAGACAACTGCTACAGGATGGATCTTGCTCGGTGGGGATCAGTGGATGAGGCTGGCAATGAATACTGGGGTTGTCTGGGGCTAGAGATATGCCAGAATAAGGATCCTGTTTGCCAAAGCCTCAGAAAGAATCTACAGAGGCAATTTTAAGCTTACTTTCAGCGAAGGCTCCTAAATGGTGAGTATATGTTGCAGGAATGGCTGCTCTATTCCCCACCTACTGGCTCTGTTCTGTGCATTGCTTGCCAACTTTTGGTGATGGACACAATCGTCTTTTGAAACCAGCTGCAGCAAATGGAACCAGGTCAAAGATCGATTAGCTCAGCACGAAAAAAAGAATAGTCACAGAAAGGCCATTATGTTTTACATTAAAATAGTACCAGATGATGGACAGAACATTTGAATCAGAATGTGCTTAAAGTTTTGAAAAGAGTAGTGGCAGCCTGTGACATTTTTGGCTGAATGCATACTGGCTTTCCAAGGCATAGGTGAAGTTTTTGGCAGACCTTGCAATGGTAACTACATGTGAATATTACATCACTGAGTTTGAAAAAAAAAACCTTGTAAAAGGTAAGGAGCTAAGTAGATTATTATTTATTGGCCTATGGTTGCAGCATGAATGGCTTTTTCTAGGTCGGCTAGAAATAGAAAAGGTCTCACCTTTTGTCAGGGCCGCCCGGCGGCCACTGCCTCTCTTCCGCCTTTCTCTCCTCTGTTCTCTCGACCTGAGGGATTCGCACCTCAGCTGTGTTGCAGTCGTAATTAGCGATTCGTTTGTCGGTGCACACAGCTGGGGTGCATCCCGCTGATTGACTTCCTCCTTATTTATACTCCTGGTAGACGCTCCACCGTCACTGGAGCATTGCCACAAGTACGTGAACTTAGCGTTTACCGCCTATATACGTGAATTTGGTTTCTACGCTGACAGTTTCTGTGCTGTAGATTTCATTATGTACGTCGGTTATATGTTTTGTTTGTTTTATGGAGACTTCCCCCGCTGACAGTTCCTGTGCGGTGGATCTCGTGGTATGTTTTGTATTAAGTGTAGCGAAGCGGCATTAGACTTTTTTTTTTTTTTTTTCCGCTGACAGTCCCTGGGCGGTTGTTTTTTCTTTTGTCGTTCGCCACTCTTTTTGTTTTTTTTTTTTGCCTATCTGTCCTTATCTTCCTGCCCTCTTGGTTTTATCCCGTCAGTCCCTGGACTCACCTGTTTGTTCCCATTTTTCTCCAGTCATTTCCACCCATCCCGGACTGCATAAGTAAACTTGGACTTTGTTATGCTCTGTTGTTACTTTGTGTTCTTTTACCGGTAAACCGTCATTTCCCCCCCTAGCACCTGGGTCTGCACTCTTGAGTCCAACCACAGTTCTCCCTCACCTTCCTGGTGAGGAGGGCTACCATAACAAGAAAGGGTGGTTTATATTCGGCTGAAGTCCTTTTTAGATGAACACAATGTTCTGGAGGTCTTCCAATCTGGTTTTAAAACTTTACATAGTACAGAGTCGGCCTTTTTAAAGGTTTTTAATGATATATTTTTGGCAACTGATGTGGATGATTATGTGATCCTTGTCCTGCTGGATCTGACTGCAGCCTTTGATACGGTTGATCACACTATTTTAATATCCCGGCTTAAGGATATGGTGGGCATTAGGGGCGTTTCCCTGGAATGGTTTAGGTCTTACTTATCTGGCAGGACCATGTGTGTTGGCATTGCTGATGTTGAATCTTTGTCATCCTCACTGTCTTTTGGGGTACCGCAGGGATCAATTTTGGGGCCCTTGCTGTTCTCACTATATCTACTCCCTCTTGGCTCCATCTTGAGAAAACATGGTACCCTTTTTCATTGCTATGCTGATGACATTCAGATTTATATGCCGCTAAAGATGAAGGATAACTTCTCAATTAAGCCATTATTGGCGTGTCTTGATGACGTCAGGGACTGGATGACCCTAGGTTTGTTAAAACTCAGGTTTGTTAAAACTCAATGAGACAAAGACTGAAGTAACAGTGTTTGGTCCAAATAAATCTGGTGACCTCCCTTCAGTTGATTTAGGTCACCTGGCACGGTATGAGAAACCGACGATTTTGAATTTGGGTGTAAAAATTGATTCTGGTCTGAAATTTGACCGCCAAATTAATGTGGTTGTGAAATCTAGTTTTTTCCACTTTAGGCAGATAGGGAAGGTAAAGCCTTTTCTTGCATGCCAGCATTTTGAGACAGTAATCCATGCATTTATTACATCACGTTTGGATTACTGTAACGCACTGTATGTTGGAGTCAGCCAGTCGTCACTTGCTCGTCTCCAAATGGCTCAGAATGCGGCTGCCCGTCTTTTGGTTGGGGTGCATAAAAGGGAGCACATAACCCCTATTTTGGCATCCCTTCACTGGCTCCTGTTGTCCTTTAGGATTCATTTTAAGATCCTTTTATTTGTTTTTAAGTCTTTAAATGGTCTTGCACCACTGCACCTTCTTGAACTTTTATTTCCTTATAGTCCCTCTCGGTGCCTCAGATCAGCTGACCAGCTCCTGCTGGGGGTACCAAGGGTTAGGCGTAAATTTAAAGGGGACAGAGCGTTTTCTGTTGTGGCTCCTAAGCTATGGAATGCGCTGCCTCTTTATATTAGGCAGGCCCCCTCGTTGGCCACTTTTAAAACTTACTTGAAGACCCATTTGTATGCCTTGGTGTTAGATACAGTGTGAGACTCTGTTCGGGTTCTGGTTTTGGATAGTACTTTGTGCTATTTTGATTTAGTTATTCAATTTTATTGTTGTTTTATTCTTTTTTTGTTAATGTAGTTGTTTATATGTTTACATGTTTTAAATGGAATCTTATGTTAAGCACTTTGTTTGGCTCTGGCTGTGTTAAAGTGCTCTATAAATAAAGTTGAGTTGAGTTGAATACTACTCGTATTGCAAGACCTCGCTTGTTTATCAGGTTAAAATCTACAAAAAAAAATGTGCTTGTCTTGCAAAACACTCGCAGACCAGGTTACTCACAGTCCAAGGTTTTACTGTACTATAAAGTAAAAATTACAGCTCTAATTCTGCTATAATCAATTCTTTATATCAAACAGAGCGTGACAGTGACTTCCTCCCTGTGGGAGTAAACACCGCATAACCTATGTAACTCACTATATGTTCTT